AAGACATCCTCTTTAATTCAAATATTTGGTCTGTAGACCAACTTACTGATAACTGTACCTGTATGAGACCTTTTATGGAGCTCCAAATTGCTTGGATGTTTGAAAGCCTTCCCACATAATTCACAAGTATATTGCCTCTGCGACTGAAGAGTTGGTGATTGCCCTTCTTGTTCCAAAGGACCTTGAGATCTTTCAATTTCAACACTTTGTTCAAAATTCTCAGAATTCACTAAATCTTCAGCTTCTTTTTCATCAGTAACTCTAGTATTTGTCATGTCCATGGTACTTTCATTTACAGATTCAATTACTCCTTTTATTCTACTGTCATCTCTTTTAGGCTCAGGCGGCTGCTCTGCAGATTTCTGAGATCTTAGAAAATTTAACTTTTTGAGGTGTACTGCTTTTTTCAGCCGCATCTGTTTGGTGGGCTGCATAAGCGTGCTTTCTGCATCTTGGTCTGGAGCAGCTTCATTCACAGACTGAACCAGAAAGTTTGATGGTAAATGATCAGAGGTTTCCAGAATACACTCAGAGTGATTGACAGTACAAGAATTATTCTCTACTGTGTTTATTTCTGTAGACGTGTTGTAAGAAAAGGATTGTTCTGGTCCTCTCTCATGATTAGTGCAAGCATTTTGCTTATAGAACTGATTACTGTAAAAGTTGCGTAGTTTATAATAGTAATTTGGTTGTTTAAATGGAAGCTCTGTGCAGGTGCCATCTAAGGAGTCTTGTGGTTGTTTCTGTACATCACCTGAGGATGCATGAAGATTAACAGACTGCGATGCATGAGAATGGTGGTCAGCCAAGACTTTACTAGCTTGTGTGTCAGATGAGCATTCATTCAATAGGTTTGTTCCATAACTGTCATTGGCACAGCTAGTATCTGCAGTCAAAGTATTCTGCAGTGAAAATACACTATTACAAGGCATGCTGGCTGTCTGCTCTACAGCTGTAGAAGATTTTAAAAAGGTGTGGCAAATGTTAAGCACATTTTGCACTTGGAGACACTGTGCAATATCCAACATAGCCTGTACATTGTCCTGGCTAAGATCCAGGTGAGAGGTGTACATGAAGTCCAAAATCTGGCCTATGCCACCTACATTTTTAATGTCCAAGTGAAAGACATCATTCTTCTGGCCTGAAGAATTCTGGAAAAGGGTCCTAATAAAATAAAGCAAATATTCAAACTTAAACACAAATAATTCACAAACACTTTTATAAAAAAATACACATACACCTCAAACAGACTGCCTGGTATGAAACAATTTACACTACGCAGTCTTGCCCAGATTACTGTCTTTTTGCAAATGAACATCTCAAAACTGCTCAATTACTTGTCTTATGTATTAGTCCTACACTAGTACACTTAAAGTATAAATTAAAGCAAATGATCCTCCATATAGCTTTAATTTTCTATCTTTTAATCTTTTGAAATCACACCCTATATTTGTGGTTTCATATCCAATGTTCTTTACATATAGGTACAGTGGTGTATTTATGAGCTATTTGCAAAAGTTGGTTGGCTCAGAATGGTGTTTCTCCTTCCATCATGGCAAATAAAACAGGACATGAGAAATCTTCTACTAAAAAGGAGAAGACAAGACCTCAAAGTCAGCTAAACTATTCTCTTCTGGCAACTGAGCTTGTCCATCAAACTTTATCAATAAGCCTTACTGAAGTTTTTACTATTAGTTCTTTCTCCAGAAGTAGATGAGAGGATGGTAACAGTAAACAAGATGGCATTATTTTCAATCTTCCTCATATCCAAAAAAAGTACTTTTTTACTGGTACTGGATGAGAACCAGGTAAAAGAGTAATGAAGAGTACAGCTACTTAAGCCTAAAACAGCAGTCCAACCAATACCCACTGAATTGTCACTGAATCCTTAGAGTGTGTGAATTCACAAGACTTCTTACTAATTGGTGTGAAGTATTCTTAGCATCAGAGCTGCAGTTTTCTATATGCGTAACTAGACCTAAATTAAGTGGGTTCATACTCTGCCTCAGTCAGGAACTTCATACCCTTCCATTAAAACCCCCAGTCTCTAACACGGTACACTCTCGGTAAAGGATGACATATAAATAGGATCAAGTCACTCCTATGTAGCTATCTTCCTACACTAGGAAATGCCCTGAACTTGATGATTCCCCTCTGTGGGTTGACTCTCAAATTAGGTTTAGTTTAAAGGTAGGTGTAATATCAATAAACTCTGAATCTTAGGCAAATGAGAATCTAGGCTTAACCTTAGAAATGTAAAGGGTACTCTGAAGCCAGTGCCTACATCCAGAGTCTTTCATAAATCCAGCCCATACTGTGTAAATTAAAATGAGAACTATAATGAACAGATCTGGGTTGAAAGTCTGAATTAACTAGTCACGTATACTAATGAATTTTATTAAGAGTTGAGTGCCTAGTTCTTTTTAACTACTTTAAAAATTTAGTCTGAGCATAATTTCACTTCATCATCAGGATTACAGCACTAGGAAAGAAAAAGCAACCTCGTCTTTCTTCCCTGGTCATAACATAAAAACAATTTTCTTACATAAGAACTGATAGTCAAGCTTTAGAGATGTTTCAAGAAGCAAGGTCTAAAAACTGCCAGATCTAACAGCTTACTCATAACTGACGTAAAAAACTAGGTTGGGAGATCCAACATACCCCAAAATTTGGAGAATTGGTGAGGGCGATACAGACAAGAAATCAGTTGGCTTCACAAGCCACCTGTATACTTTAAAACACAGATGTTGTCTCTCTAAGAATCAGTTCTAAATAGAGATGCAATAACCACCTATATACTCAACTTTTATTTTGAATGTACAATTGATGAAACAATTCACATCATCCAGAAATGGATAATATGAATTCTTTCATCAATTATATCACTTATCTGGCTCTGTTCATGTACTCTACTATGGTCCTTGTAAACAGTTAACTTTTCACACTGAAATACTGAGTACAGGTCCATGTCAGAATCCATTATACAAGGTACCATAAGCAAGTAAGGATCAAGAAAAAGCCAAACCCAAACTGTGTATTAGTTAACTATGTATATCTAGAAAATAAATCAGGATGGCCAGTTTTTAATTAGGTTAAATACTTAATAGATATTTATCTCTGGACAGTTTAACTTCTCCCCTTACGTTCCAACAGTTCACTTCATCTGCAGCTACCAGAAAACAATACCCTTCTCTGAGAAAACCTCAACCAACTGCATTTACTTTTTTAAAAGAAGAATTTTCTATCACATACCTGAAATATTGACTGAAAGCAGCTAATACATTTTTGTGTGCTTTGAAGCAGACACCTTTTACCACCAGCATGCAGTCACAGAGAAGACCCTGAATGCGCTGTTCATGTAGCTGCTGGAGGAGATGACAACTATGGCTAGCAACAGTGTCCATGCTAGAAAATCACTTAAATTACCTACAATGAAATAAAATGCTAAGATTAATTTTAAAGGTTAAATTGAAAAATTAATTTTGAATATAAAGAACATTTTGACAATTTGTTTTAGCTCCCAAAGGGAACAGACTGGTTTGCACCTGCAATGTGAGCTCTAATGACATTTTTCTGATTAAAGGTGAGTCATGGTATTGCTCACCAGTAGATATACAGCAATGTACATAGGAAATATTTATTTTAATGAAGTTCTGCTTACAACAAAGAGCTTCTGCAAAAATATGTTAACAGCACTGCCAATAAACTGCACTCCAGTTTATTGGCAAAAAAACAATTCATACAATTTTGACAAGAATTAGATTCTAAGGCAAAAACATATCACATGTACATAATCAACACCTTTTGCAGAGGAAAACCTCAGTTTCTTCACCCTCTAAACTGAAAAGGTAGAGCACCACAGTAGCATTATTTATGCCAAATTTGTTGCTGCTGTAGCTAAGCACATTTCCCATCTGGATGTGATTCATTAAACCAGTTAGGATGGTAATTTTCTTTATTTAATACAATGTAAGGTCTCTTTTAAAGATCACTTATTTGAACAGTTTGAATGGAAGACAAGTAACATTCTCAGACAACTCATTAAATTCTATACTTTTTTTTTGAAGAAAGATGAAAATCCTCCCCTGCCCACTTGTAAATATGAAAGGAAAATTCCAGCTATTAGGACAATTAGAACTCCTGTTTCCCAACTGATGAATGAAGGAGAAAAAACACCTTGGGTTAAACATGACAAGGGTTGCCACCCCCTCAATTCTCATGAGCACTAAAGGCTCCACATTTTCATGTATTCTGTTACCCTGTGATTTATCGCCTACTGATGTATTTAGATCGTCTATTATATCCCTATTTGCTCTTATCATGTCTTTAACCAGGCTTTAACATAAAGAATCCGCATCTTTTGCCAAATAATTGCTTTCTTTGTGTAGCCCCCCCACCACAACACCTTGCAAGTACTTTTAACAACCTGCGAATTCAGACTCTCTCGGCCATCAGGTGCCCGCCTCCCAGAGGAGAAGGCAGACACTTTTTGCTGCTCCCGAACACGAGTAGTCCCAGCAACACTGTCGCTGTCTATGCCTCAACAGCCATGTCAAGCTCCCCTCAGTCTCGCCTCAGTAAAGCCCAGGCTCGAGGCGCAGCACGGAGAAGGGGGCTAGGGGAAGGGTCTGCCTCAGAAGAGCAGACCGGGCGGCGACGGGAGGGCGGGCTCTGCCCCGAGAGCAGGCGGCACGGCGGGAAGGCGCGGAGGCCGAGCAGGACGGGCGAGGGGCCGGGTCGCGGGGCGCCGGGGAGCAGAGGGCGGGCCGGGAGGCCGCGGCCGCCGCACGGCCCTCGGCGGCGGAGAGCGCGGCGCAGCCTGGCAGAGACGGGGCCGGGGGGAAGGAGCCGGCGCTGCTCAAGCCCGGCGCTTACCGGCTCCGGCCACCTCCCAGCTCCATCCCCGCACGGCCCCGGCGGCAGCCCCAGCCCCACCGCCGGCCACAGCCCGCCGCCGCCGCCGCTCCTCCGCTTCCGCTTCCGCTCCCGGGGCGCAGGCGCAGAGCAGCGGCGCCGGGGAGGGCCGGGGGCGGCACGTGCGGCGGCGGTTGAGGTGCGGGGTGGGGGGGCGGTTTGAGGGGGGGGAGCGGCCGGCTTGCGGCCACCGAGGGGCGAGGCGAACGGGCGGCCGGGCCGGGCCGGGCCTCCCCCCCCCCGTCAGGCAGCTCCCGCAGGGCCGCGCCGCTCGCCCGCCCCCGGCGGAGGCGGGGCTGCTGCGGGGAGCGGGACGGAGGGGCGGCGGGGGGGGGTGGGGGTCGCTCCGGGAAGCGGGGGGGGAACGGCGAACCGCCGGCTGCGGAGCGTTTCGGCATAGCGGTGTGTTGGGCGGGGAGGGGAGCGTTTACTCGTTTCGGGGTTACTGGTTTCCCTTGCGCTCGGGCGAAACGAGTTTTTCCACCCGAAATTTTGCGCATGCAAAATCAGACTGCTTCGATTCGCTGCTGGTGGATGCACGGCTGCTTTTCTTGTCGGCCACCCAAGTGCTGCTTTCAAGCTGCAAGTGTAACATCTCCTCCTGGTATTTCTAGGGCTGTGCCTGGGGGGAGGAAAAAGACCTGTGCCCGTTTCATAGAAGCTGCTGACCGCTCACCAATATGGTAGTTTTCACATGCGATGCGTGTGGAGAATCTGTGAAGAAGGCACAAGTTGAAAAACACGTGAACTTCTGCAGAAACTGTCAGTGTCTTTCTTGCATGGATTGTGGCAAGGATTTCTGGTAGGTAAAGGATGCAAAATAGCCTTGCTCCGCAGCAGTTGTCGCAAATACAGGATTTCCCTGTGGTATATTAGAATTAAATGTGACAATTTCTAAATAATTCATATTTGTATTTTAACATTATACACGTCTTTATATAATTTAAAGCGTAATCATCCAAACTGGAACCACAAGGACAACCAAACCACACAGTAAACAGAGTTACAATTTCTTCTTTTACAGTTAGAAGTAACAGTGCTTTCATCTTCTGATCATCAACAACTGTTACTTACTCTGTTACTGCAAAGAGGGTGAGGTGGGCAATAACATGAAAAATTCTGAATTTGGTTGTCCCTTCTCAGAACTCAGAAGAAAGCATGGCTACTATCTGCTTTAAAAATGTAAATATATGAATTTGCAGAAGAAAATAAGATTGTCCTCAAATAATTATTATATTTCTCAATATTGCACAGGCAAAAGATTAAGATCAGTGTTATTTATTCCTTTCTGGGGGCACTGACACATTGGTCAGAACTACACTACCACATATACTATATCTGTATTTACGGATTAGGTTTTTGCAAGCATTTTTCAGCTGCTTATCTAAATTTTTTTCAATGTAAGTAGTGAAACACGGGTATGTGTTGTGCATAAGTTACAGAGTCATTAAAAGCAGCAGTATACTGAAGAGTCAGATCTGATTTTGAAAGTCAGAAATTTTCACTGAAGGCTGCAGCGTGACAAAAATGCCATCAGTCTTACAAGCACGTACTTCAAGCACATCAAACTTTACTCATATAAGAGTTGACAGTGTTAAGGATTCAATGATAGATGCTATCATCTAACACTTCGGTTTGTTGATTACATAAGTCTTGCATAGTTCGAACAGTGGAACGCTTTAGTGAACTACAATTAACAATCTGTGTTCAGGGGTGATGATTATAAGGGACACGTGAAGTGCGTGAGTGAAGACCAGAAATATGGTGGAAAAGATTTTGAAGCCAAAACTAACAAAGGAGATGCTAAACAACAGGAGTGGATTCAGGTAAGGTTTATACCATATACAGATAAGATAAATAACTATTGTTTATAATTGTTAAAGACACAAGAGAGGCTACATGGGATCAAACCAGAGATCCATTTTTCCCCAATATCACAGCTTTCTTTTGGCAGTTCCTTGTATACCTTGCATGTGTCATTTGATCATTATGAGTAATTGAGAGTAGCAGCCCTGCAGAGAAGGATTTAGAGGTAATTGCTGATGAAAAACTGAATATGGGCCAGCAGTGTGCGCTTGCAGCCCAGAAAGCAAACCGTACCCTGGGCTGTGTCAAGAGAAGTGTGGCCAGCAGGTCAAGGGTGGGGATTCTCCCCCTCTACTCTGCTCTCATCAGACCCCACCTGGGGTGCTGTGTTCAGCTCTGGGGCCCCCAACATCAGAAGGACATGGACCTGCTCGAGTGGGTCCAGAGGAGGCTACAAAGATGATCAGAAGGCTGGAGCACCTCACTGATGAGAACAGGCTGAGAGTTGGGGTTATTCAGCCTGGAGAAGAGAAGGCTCTGGGGAGACCTTATAGCGGCCTTCCAGTGCTTAAAGGGGGGCTACAGGAAAGGTGGGAGGGACATTTTAATTAGGTATTAAGATCAGGGAGTGTAGTGATAGGATGAGGGGTAACAGTTTTAAACTGAAAGAGTGTAGATTTAGATGAGATGTTAGGAAGAAAATTTTTATGATGAGGGTGATGAGGCACTGGAACAGGTTGCTATTACGACCTGGACTGGGAGCCCAGGGAGTCATAAAGGTTCTGTGATCCCCTCAGGTTAAATTAAGGTGAAACAACACCAAACGACTGGTTAAAATGTTTTACCTGTGGTAAAAACAACTTAAACTTGGAAAAGGATAATAAGCACTGGGGTCTCTTATTGATAAATCTGTAAGAAATAAAATGAAAAGAGAAGAAGAAAGAAAAGAAATAAAATGAAAGGAGAAGAGTCCAGTCACCACCCCTCAAAATCTATAAGAAAGGAAAGGAAAGAAAAGAAACAAAAAGAGGAAGAGTCCAGTCACCACCCCTCATTCCGCCGTTGTCTTGGGTCTGGAAATCTTGGGTGGTAGGTGCACAGAAAGGAGAGTCCGGAAATCTTAGATGGTGTGTGCACATGCAGAAAAGTTTTCTGTCTCCTTTTAAGTTCATCTTATCAGATGACGAGCATACTAGACAAAGAGAGGCAGGTATTCTGGGGAACTCATTTTCATGAGGTGGTCTTGTTCCCTCCTACCACCTTTACTTCCTAATTTTTTTTCTTCTTGGCCTTTAGCTCATCAGTCTTTTTGTCTGAGGCTTGTCTAAGGGATTTGGCACTACAGCAGCAAGGAAGTGGAGCCCTGCATCGTTTGATACACTCTGCCCTTCCATGGGCAGCATTCCTTAGACTAATCACAAAGGCTACAACTTGTCCTTAATGCTTCTGTGTCAAGGAATGTTTGAGGCATTGATTCTTTCAGTTCCTTACAGTTGCCCAGAGATGTTGCGGCTGCCCCCTCTCTGGAAGGGTTCAAGGCCAGGCTGGACGGGGCTTTGAGCAACCTGGTCTAGTGGAAGGTGTCCCTGCCTGTGGCAGGGGGGTGGGAACTACATTATCTTTAAGGTCCCTTCCAACCCAAACCATTCTATGAATCTATGATTATGCTTCTTTGCTGATTTAATTCTGTTGTTTTTTTTTTTATCATTCAGAAAATACATCAAATAATGAAGAAGCCAAACATAAGCCCTAAAGTGCGGAGCATTCTGGAGCAAATGCGTGTCTTTGATAATATTCCAAGAAAAAAAGTAAAGTTTCAGGTATGTTTTAATACAGATTTGTAGTAATCCATGCAGTGAGCTTAAAAGTAGACTTTCATAGAGTACCACTCTCCTTTAACAAAGGTGGGACAAATTGCTTATTTGGGCACTGGTAGATAGGTGGTGTAATAGCTGAGTTTCAAATAGGTAATGTTTGTAAAATAGATCTCCTTGCGTAAAAGGACTCTGTGTATCATTTTAATTAGGTATTATGCTAGAGAGTCACCATTCAAGCTTAATCTCCATGCGTAGGCTTATTCTTTTTTTGATATCTTTCTTTTTTCCTATTTGCAATTTCTATTGGATGTCCAAATTCTTAGACATACTTTCAAAGGATTCTTATTTCACTGGCTGTGTTTTAGCCTGGTAAAGGCAAGATACAGGTTTGAGAGTTTTCCTGTTGCTCAGTATTCTGACAGAATCTCCCACACTGGATGCTTCACTAAACTTTGCATCACAGTCAAAGCGTATTCCAAATACTTTATGTAGTATCGGTAAAGAATTAGCGAAAAGCTGGCCTTTTGCTTTTTTCTGCTCTGTGCCTCAGAGTGTGAGGCTGAGAGAAGATCATGATTACAGCCAGAGCATTCAAATAGAACATAATAGAGCTTCAGTGAAATTGCTGCTAGCAAGATGAAGGTTAGAATACTTTTCTACAAAATTAATGTTGTAAGCAGGGAAAGTGATACTGTCAAGAAGCGTCTTTCTTTTTGGTAAGATAGGTTGTATTGGAAGATCAAAAGGTTTTGTAGTTCATTGTTCCAATTCACTATTGCAGCTTTCCTAGGATTTTGATTGCAATGTTAGGTTTTACTTGGGAGTTCCACATTCCTGAAAGTTGATCTGTTGCCAATAGTGTGGGCATATTATAAGTAGAAATTTACTACTTTAATTTTCAGCAGGAATGCCTGCAATAGCCCCAGCAACTTTCAAATGTTTGCATTGAGATACTTGCTTAAATTTTATTTTTCTTTAATAAACTAAGGTGTCCCATTAGGAGCATGACTATCTGTCTAGTACAAAAGTAAATAAATAAGATCAGATCCTTAATGTTTTTTCTCATCAAAGAGTCAAAAGTTTTGGTAGGACATTAGTATAACCAGCTGTATTCAAAAGCTTGAGGATAATCTTTTATATATATTTACCTCTTCTGGATTACTGTTGGTGAGGCAATTGAGAGGCATGGTATAGCCTTGGAACAATACGCAGGTACTGTGCAAAACAATTTAACATGGAGGTTTAAGAGATTCATAGAGAGAAAACGTCTAACCAGATCTTAATCAGAAGTGATTAGAGACTCAAATGAAAAATAAAAACAAAACCCAAATATATGGTAATCAAGAAGAAAATCAGAGATGCACTTTTTCAGTTATTGTTGGTTTTTTTCCTGCACAGAATTGGATGAAGAACAGTTTGAGAATTACTGACAGCACTTTGCAAGACCAGGTGTGGGATATTTTCTCTGAAGCAACAAGAAATGTAAGTTAAGTTAGAGGTACAACATTGTACAATAGGAATGCAGTCAAAAATGCTGGAAGCAAAACCTTTCACGCTCCATTTGTAGATGTTGGCAGAAATACTCCCATTGTTATAATGGATTATGTTATAATGTAATATTCCTAGACTCAATTGGAAATTTATGGAATATACAATTGCTGAAGTAGTTGTGCATACTGGGTAAGTTGTGATTAAAAACTTGGACACAGTGACAAGATTGTATTAATCAGAAGACTAATTTAACTTTATGCTATTAGTACATAAGGAAAGGGAGAAACACTGCCTTTATCATCTTTGGCTCCTATCTTTTACCACACACTAAGAAGGAATAAAACAACCTTTTTTTCAGATCTTTATTGGCCTCAAATTAATATGTATTGGAGTGAGAAATTAACAGCAACTAGTTTACCCATTTTCTTAGTGGAGAGAGATGAGATCCTTCAGTTTGTGGTGCAAATTCCTTCCACTTCTGCGTCCAAATCATGGACTCGCACTGACCTTTTTCTCAGTGTCTAGTTCTTTGCTATTTCAGTACTACTAGAGCGTGTTTTGGTAGTATGTTGTTTTGCTTGTGTGTTTACATCTATTACTGGTTATTACAAGAAGCAGTTACAGAAGCTAACTTCTCTGTTGATGTAAATATGCTCTCCCTCTCCCCCCAGCTTCTGAGGAAGAGTGTAGGCATAGCTTTGATGTTAATCCCTGTTGATCGTGCTTAATGTTCCTGATTTGATGATTCCAGTTAAATCTGTCAGTAGTTTTTCTGGAGAATCCAAATATAAGAGCCAGGAAGGAAAGTAATACATTTTTTTTTTTTAGGGATATGAACATAACATAAATTCTGGGCACTGAATTTCAAGTACACTGTCTTGCTGAAACATTAATTCTGAGTCAGTGTTCACTGAAGTCATAAGCAGTTCCTTCTTGATTTAAACTGATCTTTTAAAAGATAAATCTTGAATCTGAACAAGAACTTTATTTAAACACAAGTAAACAATTTAAATTTTCCACAGAATATAGCATTAAAGTAAAATATATAACACAACTGCCTTGCTCAGATCGTTTCAACACACCTTTAAGAGTTCTAAAAAACATCTCAAGATATTATTTGTAATACATGCTTTGAAGAGTATGTACTCAGTTCTTAAGTGGAATTTAAATCTAATTGAAATTACTTTTTACAAAAACATGTTAAGTTCCTTGTATAAACATGTATTCTCTTTCTAAATAGCCACATTAACATTTCAGTAGTTGTATTTCACTTTACTCATTAAAGTTTAATTTCAAGATAAAAATGTTCATTATTATATTAATTCTTCTACAAGAAAATTATTATAAGCCCAGGAACATTAAAACCAGATAAGGTGAGAAAAGTACAATTAAAACAACCATCAGTGCCTTTGTTGACATCATGCAATAATAGTTTGTTGTCCCAGACATATCCCAAGACAGGGAACTGGATGGCAAAGCTAAGATTATTACTTAAGGGATGTATATTTGGGAATAGGTTCTGTATCTTGCTGTAATACGCTGTATTTTTGTCTGTGTAAATCAAAGAGTTGTCTCTCCCTTAATTACATTTGGTAAATATGTTTAAAAAACACATAGACAATTATTTCAAATAGAAATTGCGTATGTTGTAAGATAATATTTCTTCTGTGATGTTAAGGTAATTAGCATTTAGGCTGTTAATTTAAAAGAAGAATCAGCCACACTATTTAGTGCTATTTGTCTGGTAACTGGTGTCACCACATGTAAGGAATTTAATTCAATTCAGAATATTAGTGCTCTTCATGAAGGATGTAGTAGAGAAAAGTTGCAATGTCAGAAAAGGCATGGAAAAATTGTAATAATCTGTCTTTCAACAAAAGATTTCAAGTGAAAAAGAACAAGACAAACCACAACAGAAGGAAGAGGGGCAGTCTGCAGAAACGGGGGAAAAAACAATGGCAGAAGAAAATGGAATTACAGATGATAAAATTGAGAGGAAAAAGAATAAGAGAGAACGAAAAGAAGAGAGACAAAAGAACAAAAAGAAGGAGAAAAAAGACTTGAAATTAGAAAACCAGTCAGAAGCAAAAAAGAGTAAAAAGTCCAAAAAAGGAAAGGAGAGTTCGGAGAATGAAATAAATGGAAATGGCCTTCAGAGTGAAATAGAAGAAACAAATGTAAAGAAACGCAAACACAGACATGCAGAAGGTATCTATCCTACTCCCTCTATTCTCGTTAGTTTTCAAAATGCTTTTTCTCAATGCCTTAGAGCTCAATAATCTACCCAAGTAAATTCTTTAAGTAGTAAGTTACATATACAAGTGAGATTATTTTTTAACACTGTAGTTGCACAGTCCTTTTATAAAATCTGAATCTCTTAGCAAATATAAACTCATGTTACAAGAACAGAAACTTTAAGTCATGTCATAACTTTTCTTATGGTTTTATAATTTTTTGTGTATGTTTATCCAATTCCATCTCTAGAGGAACCTCATATCACAACAAAGAGAATGAAAACTGAAAACATTTCGGAAGACATGGAAACAGAAAACACCAATGGCAACGAAGAAAATGTGGGAACAGATAAAGGTATTTTTAAAGGGGGAGTTTATATAGTTACAATACTATTCTGCAAAAGACTTAGTGCAGAATATAAATACAGTGCTTTTTCAGCAAGCTGTGAAATAAATTGTGCCTCAGTATACATGTATATTCAGTATACATATCTATTCTAGAGTAAGCAGCCTGGGCTACACTTAACACCTGATGCTGAATTAATTCTCATTTGTTGCTTCTGCTGTGCTGGCAACCTTTGGCTACACTTGCTTTCACTGGGCAATGAAGAATTTGGAACGTTTGTTCCACCACAGCAGGTCTCTTCCCTGCTGCCATGCACATTAGCTGACATGGAGGAAAAAGGATACTAGCTCTCATATCTCTGTGTACCTCTTCTCTCCATTTTTTCTCAATGAATCATAAATTGGACTTTAGCTGTGTTGGACCTTAATTTATGCTTAGACAAACCTACTTATGCCTGTCATACAACACACTGTTACTGTTGGAGAATGTCTGTCTGTACTTGAACACACAGATTGTTTATTTGGAAACTACCAATTAACAACCTCTGAAGTAGGCACTATGCAAAACTGACCACATGTGCTCTAAGGGTAAGGAGGCAGGATCTTCTCAACTATTTCTGTATTATGTAAGCGTTGCTGTTTAATAGCCAAAGCACAGAAGTTAAGTAAAAGCAATCCTGACCCTGGTTGTTGGTTCTTCATGTCTATACTATTATATTCTTCAGAAACCAGCCTTCCTGACTTCATGCTTCAGACACCCTGCTGTTGAAGGGTCAGTAAAATAACTGTTGTGATAGCTGAACTGGTTCCAAAATTAGGAGATTGAGGGCTGGTTCCTACTAGAGAAGAAGACCTGGAAATACCCAATTTTACTAATGATGTTGTACACCTAATTATTTTCTAGGTAAATTCAACTGGAAGGGAACCATCAAAGCTGTTCTGAAACAGGCTCCAGACAATGAAATTTCAATTAAAAAATTAAGAAAAAAGGTACTGTACAACATCGAGGTTTTTATTCTCCTTTGGTCTTGTGAATTTCTTTCTGTAATGCTTAAGTTCATAAAATCCTGTCCCAAATAAGCAAGAGTTTGACAGAATGTTAACTGAAGGAAATGTTCTTTTGCTTACTGGACTACAGAAGAAATTCAGTGCTAAGTCTGAGAAGGAATAGTATCATAATAGATCCCATGCTACTTTTAGTACAGTAACACAAATGCGTTATTGTTTGAAGTGGAATCATCTTTGCTAACTCAAAACTGTTCCTCTGTCTTTGTGCAGGTTATAGCTCAGTATTACGCAGTAGCTGGTGAACATCACAAATCAGAAGAGGATATTCTAGTCATATTTAACAAGAAAGTGAACAACAATCCCAAATTTAAAGTTCTAAAGGACAAAGTTAAACTCCTGAAATAAGAGTTTGCATACTTTTCATAACCTATGCGTTTTAATCTTGCAGAGTCAGATTCTTCTGTCAGCTGTTCAAATATCATGCATTGGTCTCAATTCAAATTGTGTATGTGAGAGCAGAATTTAACTTTTAAGACTATATTCCTCCTCTTTTTTCTAGATTTATCACATAACATTTTCAGATATTTTATTTTTTGATTTTATGGAAAATGTATATCTTTTGGTACAAGTTTTAAGAGACATTGAAAATAATTGCTGCCTACTGTATTAAAATTCTTCTGATAATGGATATAATTTATAGGTATGAATGTTTATCAGGACCTGGATTGTGTGGATTTTTGCAGAAACTATTGTAAGAGCAAATAGGATTTTCGTACTCAAAAACACACCATGGAATAAATGTTTTGTTATGCTAAAATTCAAAATGGTATGACTGATATGTCCATTGCACACTGTAGCCGGAGTATGCAGGTTTTAATAACCTGTTAATTTTGTGTTATATATTGCATAATTAAAGTATCTGTCAAGTTTGTGTATGCAACATTGCACATTCAGTGAAAATATAAAGATCGAGTTACCTATATATGCATAACTGCTGAATGTTTTAATTAGTAATGCAACTGATTTCCATATAAGTGGTCACATGGACTAAAAATTAACTGATTAAAAAAATTACTTTAAAACACCACCTTAAATATAATAGATCTTGCCACTTTGTATAATTTGTAGATTTATTATACAAAATTTGAAGAGGCTGTTATATTGCAGTTACTGAAACCATTTAGGTGTGCCAGAAATCCTAGATACTTATTAGAGACAGAGTTTTCTAGGTAAAGGTACTTGAAGTTCGTAGGGTTTTAATCAAATGCAAAATAATTCCAGATAAGAAGTTTCCTGCCATGAAGTAATCTGTTAAAAACAGTGGTAGAAAGCCAGTGAAAATTTCTTTCAGTAGATAGTATGGTGTTTTGGAAAATCACAGTGATTTCAAGCAGATACACTTTTATAAAACTCCATTATTAAAATATCTGAATTTATAGAAATATTGAATATATTCAAAGTATAAATATGAAAAAAATAACTGATACAGTGGGTCCAGTTTTTCTGAGTACCTATTTGTCTTTATTATAAAAGTTGTAATAAAAATACCTAATAAATTTAATGTCTTCAGTAAGTGCTTCTTGTTAATTTGTGAAAATTACTTTAGAGATAAATAGAATAAAATTTATTTACAGACATGGAGAAACTTAAAGAAGTTGTTTGAACACATTTCAAAAGCTTAGATTTTTTTTTTGTTAAAAAATTAAATTTAAAAATTCAGTAAAGGACGTATAAAAGAGTAAGCCTTTGTCAGTGAAACTGAATTAATACAGTGCTTTTTATCTTTTCACTGTGTTTTACAACAAATATGGTTACATTAAGTTTGTAAATAGTTTTACTAGTGTTACAGGTTTTATTGTTGTTTAGAATTCATTCCCAAATTATGCCTTTCTTTTACACTTTTCTTCCTCCGTTGTTGTTGACCACAACATATGTTTGACACATAAAGAAACTGCATTTGCTGAAATTTTGTTGATGATACCCTAAGTTCTTATGATGGCAGCAGCAGTTGTGGGTGCAGTCAGCAGCTGCTGCAGTTGTGGCGGCTAATTCTGTGCCATGCCTTGTTTTGCCAATTGACGGTTAACACAAAGGACACAGACACCAAGTTAAAGAAATATGCTTATTTTACTGACTCTCTCAAGGTAATATAAAAAGAATAAGCAATAGATAAGAAACAAGGCAGTTAAGAAATAAGGCAATGCATCCAGTCATTACCGGACAAGTCATAGTGATTAAGAGAAAGATGCATCACCAGTTGCCCTCATACTTCACTGTCATCCAGATCAGTGCTTCAGCTGGGGAGCCCTGTCACAGCAAAGGATTGGAGATCCTTTCCTGCCGATTGGGAAGTCCTGCACAGTGCGTCCACTTGTAGGTGAGGTCTCCATCTTCGCTGCGAGGGTCCTGCTTTTATACAGTTTAACAAACAAGTCTATAAATCTACATATATGACAAAATGCATGGGACACATCTGGTAGATTGGTTTGCTGCCTCATCCTCCTTTGGGATTCTTCCCCAAGCCTGGCCAGGGCTCAAGGAGGAACCAAGGGCTTGTACTCGGCCTTGATAGTGTGTTTCTAAATTAGGAAAGGTCAGTATATTCCCATTTTGTTTTATCTAAGCAACCTATCTTGCTAATGAGATATTCTATCCAAGCTACATATTTTGCTAATGATCGGATACTGATAGTATACAACGTTTGGTTGTGAGGTTCACCTAGAGGGCAACTTTGATTCAGGGCCTGTTGTTCAGGCCTTTGTGCTCCATGCCTCCACCCTCTTCTCCCTGCCCTCAAACCAGGACCTAGCCTCTCTTTCTGTCCTGCACTTCAGAACGCCAGCCCCATGCCCACGAGCCAGGGTTGCCCGGCTCTCTGCCCCGCTCTCCTCAGCCCGCTGGTCCCTGCTGCGGGCACACCGGCATTACCCACGTGTTTTTTCAATAAAGGCCTACTATTTTCTTGACATGCTCGAACTCTTCAGCTGCGTCTCATTTCCTTTTTCAAACCGGTAAGGATGGTTTGAGTTGTTAATGCTATGCATTTCAAAAAATAAGTATTCACAGCAAATTGTTGCTTTGGGGCGTTGCAAGTTATCTTTTACAGCTTGGGAGAATGACAGTTTCTGCTCATGAAAAGCATCAGCATTTTCTAATCCACAGACAAAAAAGCTGATCTATATCAGATGAAACAAGGTCCTCTGAAGTCGTACAACAGTTCTTTTTATCCAATCCAACAGATAGCCAGATTCTTGGTTTCTGTCACTGCAGAGTTCTGGTGTCTGATGCTCAGTGATCACTGAATGAAGCGAAGCAGCAGACTAAATGTTCAGAAACACCATGCATCAGTTTAAGGCTGAAAATACAGCTGAATATTGTATCAAATCAACAGTACACAGAGGAGTTATTTGAGTAGGATTTGACCTTGGCATTTTTTCCTGCAGTAACTGTTGTGATTGTCAATGGTTCAAATGCCTGACTTGCCCTGTGCATTGCCATGTTTATGCTAGTAGTGCCTACATGGGGTAGTACACATGACTTTTACATCTTATGCTTCCCCTCCCTGTGTGAAGGGCAAAGCAGCACCAGCTGCCATTCATTTTTTTCCTAATGACTTAGCAGACATGGATCAAATCAATGCCTCTTTATTGATAGTCACTAGTGGGAGACTATTGCAAATAAATCCTGTTATAATTACAGTAGTATTACCTCATTATACATCATTATAGTAGTACCTTTTCCTAGTCTGTTGGCAGAAAGAAGGGGCAGGGGGAGGAATATGCTTTGTAGGTATATTTTTCTTTCTGAATGTGCCCGGAAGTACAGCAGTATGGTAGATGAGTCTATGCCTCTTATTACTGACAACTTACTGAAGTCCATGAATAGTCATATTATTGACATGCAGCTTTCCAGTACAAAAAAAAAAAAAAAACAAACCCACAACATTAAAAAAAAAAAAAAACAACAAACCCAAAACAACAAAACAACCTCTCTGTTTTTTCATTAGACAATTAATAGGTTCCTCAGAGGACTGAAACTGGCTTTTCCACTTAAAACAGATTGGAGCTTTAATTTTATCCTTGCAACTAATGATGTCTCCATCAGATTGAAGTTACCCTAAAACTACCAATTTAGTGGTAATTGTTTCAGAGCGCGGCATTATCCCTTGCAGACCATTCATAATATTTCATGAAGACAGAAAAAGCAGTAAGACCTATCTAATTTCTATTTGGTGATTAGTCAGAGTATTTACCAGTATTTTTTAAAATCCCATGGATCTGTTGCAATGAAGTTATGTACCTTGGATGCTTTTTTCTTTTTAAGTGGGAGGGTATATGACCTTAAGATTTATCAAACGCAAGAGGGCAACTTTATCAATTTACCTGATTACATGCAGAGAGCATGTAATGTTTAAATATTACTATTCCAGACAGTATATGAGAACAGCAAGGCACAACCCAAAGTTGTAATGTGGAGACTTGCCAAGCACCTGATTGCAGTTTAATTAGTATGTTCATTAAGCACTATTATCTGATCCCAACTTCTAGGTCAGATGATTAATTTGATTGAACAGCTCTTAAGTCCTCATTGGAGTGACTTTGAGGTCTGTCACCTTCAAGAACAAATGACAGAACTGACATCCATCCAACCGTGCGTGCATGTATTTGAAGAAGGGAAATCTAGTTTACAGTAATTGCAGCGGTTCTGGGTGTTGTACATATGCTGATCGCATGACTACCATCCCTCCCTTTTGCTCTGTCTTTGATCATCGACTACTGCAAACAGATGACATTGACGACAAGTTTGATGCTCATGGAAACTTAGCTGACATGATCCAACACTGATGTTTTAAATACATTTGACAACAGGCACATAATGAACCAGAAAGTTCATCATCTTTGATCTATGTTCTCAGTAGCAAAGTCAATTGATTTGGCTTATGCAAGGGCAGGAAAGTTGCGGGTGCCTTCATCAAACATACTACTGACCTCCTGCTCAAAAATATATACACAGTATAGAATATTTAAAAGAACGCCATGACAATACTAAGTAGGCCTTTATTTTATCTTTTTGCCTAACAGAACAGCTATGGTATTGGAGTTTCTTTTAACAGTCTACTGGTTTTGTGTTGACATACAGGACTTTATCTACTGAACCACTGAGTTGACTTCTTGTAGCATTCGGTCATTAAGCCATGAAAAACACATCTGAGTAATGAGTTCAGTTGTGCACATGGGGTGAGTGTGCAAAATCTAGCACACATCACAGTCATATCATAAAGAAAATCCAAAACCAAACCCAACAGCAAACCAGAGACCACTGATTCGTTGCAAACCCTCAAAATCAAAATGAATGGTGCAGATCTCCATTTTTTACTCTGATATCTTTTTAATTCTAACATCTTATTTTTTGGTACATGAATTTCTGTGGAGTTCAGATAAGATCAGTATTATGCAGGTCAATAAAGCAGGACTTAAATGTTAAGCATTTGAACATTAAACAAACAAAAAACCTGCAGCACCTTTTCAAGTTCTTCAGACCAGGTATTTTTAACGCATCATCACCTTTCCCACTTTTTTTTCCTGTGCTTTCAGGACAAAGGGGCATTGCTTAATGTTTATTCTGCAGCGTGGCAGAATCATGCAGCTGATGGACATGTACCTTTTGTTGCATTTTCTCTCACTTGCAATCAACCAACAGTAATATTCAGAAAGGGACTTTCTGCCACTGTAGATTGTAAGGAAAAGAGAGGGAGCCCTTCCAAACTTTTGCAGAGGCAGAAAAGTTTCTGCAAAGCACGTAACTTAAAAAAATGTAGATAAGG